AGTATTGAGGTGATAAAGTCCAGCATATGCCCAGCCTGAACTTATTAGTGATATTTGAATACAGTTGCAAGAAAAAGTATGTGAGCCCTTTGGAATGATATGGATTTCTGCACAAATTGGTCATAAAATGTGATCTGATCATCATCTAAGTCACAACAATAGACAATCAGTCTGCTTAAACTAATAACACACAAATAATGAAATGTTGCCATGTTTTTATTGAACACACCATGTAAACATTCACAGTGCAGGTGGAAAAAGTATGTGAACCCCTAGACTAATGACATCTCCAAGAGCTAATTGGAGTGAGATGTCAGCCAACTGGAGTCCAATCAATGAGATGAGATTGGAGGTGTTGGTTACAGCTGCCCAGGTCAGGAGTAATTCTTGACCATTCCTCTTTACAGAACTGTTTCAGTTCAGCAATATTCTTGGGATGTCTGGTGTGAATCGCTTTCTTGAGGTCATGCCACAGCATCTCAATCGGGTTGAGGTCAGGACTCTGACTGGGCCACTTCAGAAGGTGTATTTTCTTCTGTTTAAGCCATTCTGTTGTTGATTTACTTTTATGCTTTGGGTCATTGTCCTGTTGCAACACCCATCTTCTGTTGAGCTTCAGCTGGTAGACAGATGGCCTTAAGTTCTCTTGCAAAATGTCTTGGGAATTTGGGAATTCATTTTTCCTTCAATGATAGCAATCGTCCAGGCCCTGACGCAGCAAAGCAGCCCCAAACCATGATGCCCCCACCACCATACTTCACAGTTGGGATGAGGTTTTGATGTTGGTGTGCTGTGCCTCTTTTTCTCCACATATAGTGTTGTGTGTTTCTTCCAAACAACTCAACTTTGGTTTCATCTGTCCACAGAATATTTTGCCAGTACTGCTGTGGAACATCCAGGTGCTCTTGTGCAAACTGTAAACGTGCAGCAATGTTTTGTTTGGACAGAAGTGGCTTCCTCTGTGGTATCCTCCCATGAAATCCATTCTTGTTTAGTGTTTTACGTATTGTAGATTCGCTAACAGGGATGTTAGCATTTGACAGTGACTTTTGTAAGTCTTTAGCTGACACTCTAGGATTCTTCTTCACCTCATTGAGCAGTCTGCGCTGTGCTCTTGCAGTCATCTTTACAGGACGGCCACTCCTAGGGAGAGTAGCAGCAGTGCTGAACTTTCTCCATTTATAGACAATTTGTCTTACCGCGGACTGATGAACAGCAAGGCTTTTGGAGATACTTTTATAACCCTTTCCAGCTTAATGCAAGTCAACAGTTCTTGATCGTAGTTCTTCTGAGAGCCCTTTTGTGCGAAGCATCATTCACATCAGGCAATGCTTCTTGTGAAAAGCAAACCCAGAACTGGTGTGTGTTTTTTATAGGTCAGGGCAGCTTTAACCAACACCTCCAATCTCATCTCATTGATTGGACTCCAGTTGGCTGACATCTCACTCCAATTAGCTCTTGGAGATGTCATTAGTCTAGGGGTTCACATACTTTTCCACCTGCACTGTGAATGTTTACATGGTGTGTTCAATAAAAACATGGCAACATTTCATTCTTTGTGTGTTATTAGTTTAAGCAGACTGTGATTGTCTATTGTTGTGACTTAGATGATGATCAGATCACATTTTATGACCAATTTGTGCAGAAATCCATATCATTCCAAAGGGCTCACATACTTTTTCTTGCAACTGTATTCAAATATCACTAATAAGTTCAGGCTGGGCATATGCTGGACTTTATCACCTCAATACTGTGCATGTAGAGAATAAAAAAAAATATTGAAAATGATCTACACATTGTGTTAGCAAATCCAAGCAAATTCCTAAATTATGATGTCACCTGTGGCTTGATATGAAAATTTACTGGTATTTATGTGCAAAATTAAAATAAGATTGTGAATACCGCCTTTTGCGTGATAGATCTTACGGAAAAAAAACAGTTGATCTTACTTAATCTAACAAATAGCTACCAAAATCAATGAAAAAAAATTCAAATTTCACATGAGGGGGGGCTAAATACCGCCTCTTGCGTGATAGATCTAACGAAAAAAACAGTTGATCAAACCTGATCTAACGAATAGCTACCAAAATCAATAAAAAAAAATTCAAATTTCACTTGAGGGGGGGCTAACCGTAGTCACGCCCACAAAGTTAAGTAGTGAATACCGCCTCTTGCGTGATAGATCTAACGAAAAAAACAGTTGATCAAACCTGATCTAACGAATAGCTACCAAAATCAATAAAAAAAAATTCAAATTTCACTTGAGGGGGGGCTAACCCGTAGTCACACCCACAAAGTTAGGTAGTGAATACCGCCTCTTGCGTGATAGATCTAACGAAAAAAATAGTTGATCAAACCTGATCTAACGAATAGTTACCAAAATCAATTTAAAAAATTTCGAATTTCACTTGAGGGGGGGCTAACCCGTAGTCACGCCCACAAAGTTAAGTAGTGAATACCGCCTCTTGCGTGATAGATCTAACGAAAAAAACAGTTGATCAAACCTGATCTAACGAATAGCTACCAAAATCAGTAACATTTTGTCCAAATTTCAGTTGAGGGGGGGCCAGCCCCCCCTAATTATATATGCAATATCTCAGTAATTAGACTAGATCAAACAAAAATTTTGCCTGATCAAACCTGATCTAACGTAGAGCTATCATAATCAACAACATTTTCTCCAAATTTTTGTTGAGGGGGGGCTGGCTACGGGTTAGCCCCCCCTGACAATGATTGTTAATATCGCATATTTTAGAGTAGATCTAACGAAAAAAATTGTTGATCAAACCTGATCTAACAAAGATCTAACAAATGGAATAATCTTTTGTTAAAATTCTCAATATGGGGGGGCTAACCCGGGGGTGGTGGGTTATTGGGAGGGATAATACTCACCTCCTGTCTTTAATAAAATCTATATTTTCTGACGTCTAGACTAGGAAAATCTTGAATTTTATAACAAGATAGGAAGCTCATTATGCATGTTAAAAGCTGAACTAAGGGGGCGTTGCCTGGGCATCATGGCGGCTGGTTGCACAATGAAGTGGTCTGGGTGCCAGGTCCATCTAGGATTAACCCTGCCTGCTGTAAACATAGCAGTTTCAGAGAAACTGCTATGTTTACTTTAGGGTTAATCCAGCCTCTAGTGGCGGTCTCACTGACAGCCGCTAGAGGCACTTCCACGCTTCTCACTGTGAAAATTATTAAATGCGTGCACTGCTCTTGCCGCGCATGCACATTTGGCGGATGATGTCGGAAGAGGGAGAAGAGTCCCCAGCGCTGGAGAAAGGTAAGTGATTAACCCCTTACTCCCCCTTCAGCCCGGCGGGAGTGGGACTCTGAGGGCGGGGGGGACCCAAAGACCCTATAGTGCCAGGAAAACGAGTTTCTTTTCCTGGCACTATAGTGGTCCTTTAAGTTCCTAACTAGACTCGTACATTCTGCCTGATATACGGACAGACAGCTCGCTACCAACGATACTTGTGTTTGGTCCGCTGCAGTGGCAAACCTGTTATGTTCAGTATTTGCACAATAAAATAAAGATTGACAAAAAAAAAAAATATATATATATATATATATATTTGTGTTAAGGGCTCATGATAGTACAGAAGATACAAACATTGATAAGTATGGGATAGTGTGAAAGAGCAAGTCGGTTGTGGTGTGCCGGAACCAACGATGAGGTAGGCCTGTAAATAAACAGGGCCCACCAATAAGAAATGTATGAGAAAAGGAGTTAATAAAAGAGGAGTGGGTGGGAGGGTAATGCAGCGCTGACCTCGAACGGTATGGAGCCAGGTAAGGGGTGTCCCTTAAGTAGGGAGAAGGTGAGTCATACGCCCCTCCCACAATTACAGGCCAAAAGGCCTTAATACTTGTGTTAAGGGCTCATGATAGTACAGAAGATACAAACATTGATAAGTATGGGATAGTGTGAAAGTGCAAGTCGGTTGTGGTGTGCCGGAACCGACGATGAGGTAGGCCTGTAAATAAAGAGGGCAAAAAGTAGAAAATATACTTTATTACGAAACGAGCAGTATACATACTTCAACCAGACATATCTTGAAAGGCATTTCTAACTTCTTGTACTGGGTTAGGTATGTATCTAGAGTATGCAGAAGACTTCCAGCGCCCTAGTGATTTGATAACATGTACTGGAATGTTTGCACTGGACGCTGTGGAGGCCGCCCCTATGCGGAAAGAGTGGCCCGAATAGTTAGCTGATTTTAGGCCTAGTTGTGTAAGTAGGGACCTGACGTGGGTCATGAAGGTGGTGGTAGTGAGTACCGAACCTTGTAGACAGAAAAGTGGTTGAGATGGTGATGCTTTGAAATGCTGAGTATAGGTGTCCAGTAATGTGACGGGGCACCACACGTTGTGGGTAGGATAGTATCTAACCTCTACCGTGCGTGTTGATTGGTTTTGGAGTGATGCAGAGCTAAAATATAGTAATCCATGTGTTTCGTTAAGTGTGAATGAAGCAGAATGTGAGTGGACTGGGATGTGTTGATGGCGGTAAATTCTCTTGGTCTCAAGAAACCATAAAAGCTACGTATATGGCGGTTTTTATAACAAGGTTTGTGTTGTTCGCAAAGGGTTTTGAATCTAGTAGGCTGGATAAATCCTTGAAGATATTGAAGTCTATAGGTAGCCTTTGCGCGTTACGTGGGGGTTCGGATCTCTGGATACCTCTAAGGATGTTTTTGATCTGGTAGGAGGACATGAAACTTGTGTTGTTTGGTTGTAATGTTAGCATGTGATGTTGTATGCCTGTCAGATATAGCTTGATTGTGTTGTGAGATAATTTAAGTTTGAGGTGGCAAAAAGAAGCAAAACCTAACAAAGATGTCATGATGAAAGGTTGTGTGACGTTGTGCAGTGACAGGAATCTTTTAAATAGAAGGAAAGCCCTGTCATATGTTCTCCGGGTATTGGTGGACAGTGCTAATTGTGCCAATGTCCTGCTATGTTGCATAATAGCTTCTAGTCCATAACTAGCTGGTGGAAAGGTGGAGTGGTCGTGGCTGTGCGTGCGGCTGACGGAAGTATTTGCCGAAAAGCCTGTAAATTGAAACGAGACAAATTGTCAGCAGCCGTGTTACAAACACCTGGGACATGGACACATAACAAGAAGAAATTGTGGCATGCAGCTAGCCAGGTGAGTTTCCTCAAGAACCTCATAATGGTCAGTGACTTGGATCGGCCTTTGTTTATGATGTGGCAGGTAGCTTGGTTGTCTGAGTGGCAACGTACTGACGAACCTGCCCATAGATGCCCCCATGTCACGGCAGCTGCTACAATGGGATACATCTCAAACAGAGCTGAGGTAGTGGAAAACCCTTCCAGGTCCTGTACCTCTGGAGGCCAGCTACCCCAAAGCCATTCATTCCCGTAAATTGCTGCAAAACCTGTGGTAGACGCCGCGTCTGACCAGATGGTAGGTGAGGAGTCAGACAATTCAGGGAGAAACATGCTTTTCCCATTCCAGGTGGTCAAAAAGTTTCTCCACATAAGTAGGTCTGCCGTGGCTTGGGTATCCAGTGGTAACCTGTGTGCATCACATCTAAACAGTGGGAACATGGTTAGGAGCCGTGAGATGAAAGCCCGGCCTTGAGGTATAATGCGCATGGCAAAGTTCAGTGACCCAAGTAGAGACTGCAATTCTTTGCGATTGCAAGTACCGAGGTGTATGTAGAGGTTAATGTTGGTGAGAATGTTCTCTATCTTGGTGCGTGGCAGGCTGGCTTGCATGGTAGCTGAGTCTAGCATGATTCCCAGAAAGGTGATGACTGTATCTGGTCCTTCAGTTTTGGTGGGGGAGACTGGAACACCCACCTGTTTAAAAAGACTGATGGTTTCTATGAGGCTACTGGGAGGGGAAGTGTTCTCTTCGATCAGTAAGAAATCATCAGGTAGTGTATAACTGTAGGGCATCTGGCTACATTTAATAATAACCAGCATAATGTTTCGGCGAATACGTCGAAAATGGCCGGACTACTTTTTGAACCAAACGTTAGGCGTGAGAAAAAGTAGTAGTGCCCGGTCCACTTAATGCCATGCAGGTGCCATAGTGTAGGGTGGATAGGCAATAATTTGAAGGCATTTGTAATGTCAGTCTTGCTGAGCCATGCTCCGACCCCTGCCTGCATGATAGCTGTAATGGCGTGATCTATGGTGGAGTATTGAAGTGAAAATTTCTCAGAGGGGATAAGGGAGTTCAGACTAGGTGAGGCAGAGGTGTGAGGTGCAGACAGATCGATGATAAGTCTTTGTTTGTGGGAAGATTTCCCTGTGACAATACCGATGGGGTTTGTCCGCCATGTGGAAAAAGGAGGGGACTGAAAGGGTCCCAAAGGAAGCCCTCTGCCACTTCTTTGGCTATGAGTGTGCTAACCGCTGTAGGGTTTTGTTGTGCAGATTGTAAATTAGGACATTCAAGGATTCCTGAAGGCATGTGTATGAGACCAGTATGGAATCCTTGTGATAGACCAGTGATGATGAAGTCTACCAAATGTCTGGATGGATGTCGTGACAGTAATGCCGTGAGTACAGAAATATTTATCTCAGTTAAGTATTGCTTAGGGTACATTTTATTTGGACACATGGTTTTCGCATGTGCCCTAAAACATTTTGAACATATATGCAATAACCGACAACAGCTGTAATTACATGCACCGACATTGAAATTATTACATATTTGGGACTTCCCCAAAAACTTGATAGGTCGACCCAGTTTGTCTTTGGGTGTTCTCTCTGCTGACACAGCGGAGCTAGTGCCCTGCGAGGTGGTAGGTTCGTTCGCAGTGGTCGGACAAAATTGGCAGTATGAGCCATGGAGGAGCAGTGTGCACAGGCCGGTGCTCTTAGACCTGCAAAGTGCCTGCAAAAAATGATCGTATCAATCTTACTCCAGTTGGACCTTGTCCCGTACTGTGAGAAGGCACCAGACACTTTGGCAGAAAAGGATCTATGGTAGTCATAGAAAGCTGACCCACCATATTTGTTGCCCAGATCAACCAGCCTGTGCATATATAAGTCCAACTCCTCACGTCTGTGGGGATATACCGTACAGACCACATCCCGATAAATGCCAAAAGCTAATACAAATTCTGGAATGGTTAGCTTCCTATTTAATCGTGCATCCCTGGATTTGACTACCACAGAAATATCGTCATAAGCGTAGGTCTTATGTTCCACTATATCCTGGGAGGCAATTAGTAGTGAGGCCAGATTGACATCTTTACCTTCCAGGATATCTCTCCTGAGGTGCTCAGGAATCATGTGGGCAGGGTAAACTTCTTGGTCATCCGAGGTGATAGCTGGAGAAACTGATTGCAACTCCACCACTGTTGGGGGAATTGCCGTGGCCGGTCCAGCCATAGTGAGGGCTGTAGTGACCGATTCAAGTTTCTCCAGCCTAGAATTGACCTTGCTCATGGATGTCATGAGGGACGTGAGCATGTCATGTATGTTCCCTGGGTGGGACTGGCTCGACCCTTCCCCAGCGTCCGTGTTATCGGTTGAGGTGTGTAATAATCTGTAAAGTTCCGCTTTCCTTGCTGTTGCTGGAAAAGGGATTTGTCGTCTCCTGAGTTCGCTAGTGATACGAGGGATAGTCCATGATCTGAAAGATGCTGGACTAGCCGTATCTTCCTCCTGTGATGGGGTGTTGGTTCTAGCAGGAGTCCTTGGGATGGAGAAATCCTCTACCCCTTCTTGCGACATACTAGATTACAAAAGTATATGGTTAGCATAAAACCCCCCGAGGGGATGTACTGGCAGGCTAATTATGCCGGATAGGCGAAAAATTAAAACTTGTTCTTTGGTGACAGGTGAGGCCCTGCTAGTTGCCAAGTGGCTATGAGAGGCTCTATCTATGCATTGGCGCGAGGGGTTATTGAGGCCACCCGACGTAGTGGCAGGAAATCGTAGGCCTCTCGGTGACAATACAAGAAAACAGGGGAAGGGAGTGACAGGTGGCACCCTCTCTATAATGCGAGGCGGCTAACTCGCGTGTGGCCCGGGGGGCATTACCTCCGAAACGTTGAGGCGGGGTGTTGGCCTCGCGGACCACTAAACGATAGGCAGAATGCCTGGAGGGGGGATACCTATTTGGGCCTATAACCCCTAAAATTGCCAGTACTCTATGTCCTAAGTAGAGGAGGAACCATATGTGATGTATGGCGTGAGCAGGCTTAACGTACCTGGTAGTATGTATGCGTTTGATAAGCGATAGGTAGAAAAAACTGGAAAAACCTAAAGGGATAGAAAAACCAAATATGATAGTGTGAGAATTGGATCCTATGATACCAATTTAGACTAGTTAGTTGTGGTGAGTTCTAGTAGTACATATGGAAGGGAATGTATGAATGATATTGGCCCGACTGGCCCTGTCTGTGGTATGGTAATCATGCTTGGGGGTGTGTATGATATGTCTCTATGGTGACCAGATTTAATAGTAATGCTAGTGTTTGTAGTATAATAAGGTGCAGGATTTAAAATAATACCGTATATGTTAGGCCGTAAACGTAAGCCATGAAAAGAGGTAAGTACGAGGTACAGAAATATTTGAGAAATTATCCCAATTTAGGAAACAACGTGACGTATGAGTGGTTGAATCAAGACGTGTGATTCAACCCGAAAGTTTGTGAGATTTTATGAGACCGTGTTCTTGTGTACTTGGTATGTCGTTTGAGTACACAAAGAAAAAGTCAGAATATATAAGTGCCATGTAAGAAACGTGAGTACATGGTATGATAGAAACGTAATTTCTAAACATAATTTATAACGTAAATCCTACAAAAGATATCTGTAAAATGTAAAGCTTGTCTAAGCTTAACTCCATAAATAAATGTATATAACATGAAGAATTTCAATAAAACTTTAATGATACCATATCTGCTAAAAGATTAAACCATAACCTAAATAAACACTTATTCATAAGTAGTTAACAGGGGTATTGCCCCAGTCATGCAAGGATTTTGTAATTTTGCATAAAATAATTAACAGTAATAACATGAAACCAATTATAGCTGATGATATGCATAACAAGTTTGCTTAATGCAAGAAAAAACCGAACCGATATGCCTGCCGGCAGCAAAGGGGTTAATATGCCTGTGACTTGGCCGTAAAGCGTGTGGCCGTAAAGTAAGGCCGTTTAAAATCGCGACGCCGTGGGAAATGATCCGGGCGACGGACTTACGATTTTGAAGTCCTGTGGACTTAATCTACGACGAAAACACCGGGTATGTGCGTGGCTGAACGGGCGGAAAACCTGTAAGGATTCCTGGACACAGCTACACCAAACGAAAACCGCGGGTTTTGAAAAGCAAGATGGCGCCGTACGTGAACCGGAAGTGGATTCTCGATGCGGCGCTGACCTCGAACGGTATGGAGCCAGGTAAGGGGTGTCCCTTAAGTAGGGAGAAGGTGAGTCATACGCCCCTCCCACAATTACAGGCCAAAAGGCCTTAATACATATATTACAGAATAATTTTTAAAATAAAACCTTTTGAAAGTAGATTCTGAAGACCAATATGTAGCTTTTAATAAATCTAAAGAGCCTCCTGCTTGAAAAACCTTAGTAGACAGAGCTCCTCTGGAAAATCCCTCCAAATATAGAGATATCAATACCTGCCATAAACATAGTTTGTCTTACCCATCTGGCTAAAGATGTAGAAGTGACAGGGAGAAAAGGTTTACGAAAATAAATTAATAGTTGAGACAAATTAGCAATCTGACTCTTACTTCTGAAGCTGGCGGGACATTTTAACTTTTATTAGACTAAACTAATGAGGAGGCTAATCATGTAACTCAAACCAAGATGGCCACCCCCAGCAGGTAAACGTTGGGAATGGTGAGCAGCAAAGTTAGACTGAGATGGCCGCCCCCAGCAGGTAAACATTGGAAATGGTGAGCAGCAAAGTAAGACTGAGATGGCCGCCCCCAGCAGGTAAACATTGGAAATGGTGAGCAGCAAAGTTAGACTGAGATGGCCGCCCCCAGCAGGTAAACATTGGAAATGGTGTGCAGCAAAGTTAGACTGAGATGGCCACCCCCAGCAGGTAGACATTGGAAATGGTGAGCAGCAAAGTTAGACTGAGATGGCCGCCCCCAGCAGGTAAACATTGGAAATGGTGTGCAGCAAAGTTAGACTGAGATGGCCGCCCCCGGCAGGTAAACATTGGAAATGGTGTTCAGCAAAG